ATATTATGACAATTAGATTTTTTTGTGGAATTTTCGGAAGCTTCTCTGATTTTTGCAGTTTGTATTTTTTAAATTAAAATCGTTGTGAGAGCTACCAGAATTGCCTCCGCGAGCTACCGGTAGCTCGCGATCGACAGGTTGGCGACCACTGAACTAGAGCGTTATTTAAATATGCTCGTTAAAATATATTTTATATTGCTAATAACTTTTTATTTATAAATATGTCCGTGTCAACTGTAGAATTTTTCTATATTATTAGTAAAATGTTTTTTAGAATTATTGATGTTTGCTTTTTTGTATATTTTGTGAACTTATTTGAATAGAAGTACCTATATATATTCTCATTTAGTTTGGGCAGTAAATGTTAAACATACTAAAATATTCAATGGTGAGAAAATATGGCTTCTTCAAGTGAGTAACTATGGCTCTTAGTTCATATATTTACTTCTCTAGATACCAACATCCTTCTGATTGGATTAAGTATGACTGGATGTGCAGCTATGATAATTAGAAGAAGAAAAGAAGAAGAACTTAAGGAATCTGGCTGCAGCCGAGCGTTTGTCGTACTGATAGTGTTATCACTAGCTATCATAAGACACACGCGGCTGTGGCTGGTTTCCGCAGTCTATATTTCATCAGCAGTGTCTTAAATGGGCTACAAGATCATCTAAACGAAGACTTAATAAAGATAATTTTTTTTAAATTAACTCATTGCTAGTGACATTGTGTTTTATTAAAGTTTGAATAAGACCGTAAACAAGCAGCTACTCTAATTTATTGCTAATAAGGAACATAATATGTATTTAAGTGTTATGTATGATTACAACCTCGTTTTATAATGCCCTTAAACGTTGATAAAATCCACTACATAAAATGACATTAATCGGATGGGTTAACCCATTTTAATTGCTGTAACAAATGTATCATTAATATTCATCAGGCTAATAATAGCCGATATTAATATTATATACGTGCAATCTAGAATTAATTGGTCGGTTAGTGATTGGTGTTAAATTTTGGGATAATAAAATACATTTGCATTTGTATACAACGTTTGTATTAAGTATGGAAATAGTATGGAACCATGTAAAGGTCTTTAAATCGGGGATATTAATGAAACTTTGTAGGTTGCTTTAATGACATTATAGAAACCATATAGTAATAATAAAACAAGGATGCATTGAGATAGAATAAAGAGAAGATGCTATAACTTTTACGACTTATGTCAAACTCGAGTAAGTGTAGCTAGTGAAACTAAATCTCATTTTGAATTTTTTTGTGAAAAAATACTCTAAAAGGGGCGTTTATTAGAAATCGCTAAGGTTCATTCTGCCATTTTTTACGGTGACGTCACGCGTCGAGGAAATAATCAGTAACTAACTTCTCTGGTCGCCAGCGGGGAAGTGGGGGAGTGGGGGGAATTCAATCTCTTTTAACGTTGAACAGAAAAATCATGCGATTGCCAGAAGGGCCTAAGCGTGTTTTTCTTTGTTATTGTTGATCCGATTCAAACGGGAAAAACGGAATTATGTAGAGAACGCGGTATAGATTAACGTCGAACCTAAAAATCATGCGCAGAACGAAAAGCCAGAAGGGCCTTAGCGTGTTTCTCGGACATTACTGGTCTCATTCAAATGGGAAAAACGGCGTGCATGATACAGCTAAATATTATAAAATAATTTATTTCCTTCCATATAATTTCTGTAAAGTAACTCGATGACATCTCAAATCAGCTGAAGTATAGATCAAGAATCTAAAGTTGGTACGTACATTGAGAGTAGAGATACAGCTTTGTCGCTGCAGTATTTTTACGTTTAACCAAGCACATCATCAACTTGACATAATACGAGCTAACATGATACAGCTAAATAATATATTATTAGTTATTTACTTTTATCTAATTTTTGTAAAGTAACTCGAATGACATCTCAAATTAGCTGAAGTATATATCTAAAGTCGAGTACGTACGTACATTGATAGATGCAGCTTTATTGTTACTGATTGTGTAAATAAAACCTCTAATGGCCTCTGAGGCAAATATAATGCAAAATGCTCTAAGAAGTTAGACTTAAGCTGCTTAAGTCTCTAGTAGCACTATATGGTAGAAGTAAACCGATCATATAATCAACCGAACAACTTAACGCCTCATCGAAATCTACCCCCATTTATATATAAAATAGGATCTTGGACACCAATGCTTTTTAAATGGAAAACGTGTAGTTCACTCTGGACAATGGAGTGCTAGTGTGAACATTTAAATAAAGATTGGACAAATAATGCTAATAGTTTAAATGGGGAAAAGTTATTTGTAATAGGGTAAACTTAACATTGGACAATGGGTTAGGAGGGCATACGAGAAGTTCATCTTGTTTCATCGCTTAATCTCTCCTTATTAAATCGCTTTAGAATTTCTCGTATGCCCTCCTAACCCATTTTTGAGTTTACCCTATTATAAATAACTTTTCCTTATTTAAACTATTAGCAATATTTGTCCAATATTTACTTAAATGTCCAGCACTCTACTGTCCAGAGTGAACTACACGTTTTCCATTTAAAAAGCATTGGTGTCCAAGATCCTATGTTTCTTGAGAATGCTTGAACAGCTAAACATTCAATCATGTATTCCGGAGCTGATGGGTAGGCAAATAGCACCATCTTCGCAATATCTATTTCGAATTCTTGAAGGCTCTGGTCATGTTTCTGTTTGCTATTCTTCAACTGTAATCGATAAATTTGCTCCAAGTGTTCGTGGCCATATCGCATATTTCTTTTTGAGTTGCTAAAAATTATCTGTCTCTTCCACAGGTATAGTCTGAAGGGCGATTGTCAGATTTACTGCCTTTTCTCTCTCAGACCATTCGTTTGCCCTCGCAGCTGTCTCGAACTGTTTTAGGTAGTTGGTCCATGAAATATTTCCGTCGAAGGTTGGGGTTTTAACACGAGCAACACAGTTTACAGCTCTTTCCAATTTTAACTTCGACTCTACCTCATGGCACTTTATTTCATCGTTCTTGGTTTGGTCTACGTGTTCCATTTCTTCTATCTTCTTTTCTATCTCTTTTATTTTCTCCTCAACGGAAGACATCTTGGTTTTCACATCAGCAGAGATTAAATTTTTTAGAGAAGACATATAAGAAGAAACTTTAGTTTCTAAAGAAGATATTTCGTTTTGCATTAAAGTCGCCTCCAATGATAAATCTAGGTTCTTGACTATTGAGGAAATCTAGATATTGTTCTTTTTTAACGGTATGTCTTGGTGGACAATATACAGAAGTGACCATAACATCAGAAGTTTTAGCATTATTTAAATGATATATAACCATCTTCATTTCATCAATTTTTAAATATAAAATTATGGACTCTAAGTCGCCATTTTGATTACAAATAGTGTTTATATCGTCTCCACTTCATTCTATTTCGATGCAAGGACGGCATAAGTGAGTTGCGTAATATTTTTATGTCACCATCTAATAAAATACCATTGGGATTATCCTAGCAACGGGTAAAGGAGAGTTTTATTAGAACCATGTGAAGAATGAATTTCATTAAATCAAAGCGGATATAAAACTTTTACGGGGCTCAGCGAACGAATTGTTGGTTTAATTTAATAGCGCAAGATTTACATTGAGTAACGGCTTGAAGCTTAAAGGATTGATACCGAAAGCTTGACAGTTTTAAATGGATCAAAAAATTTGTTACATTGTCAGAAGATGTGTGGCTTAAGGATATCAGAAAAGTTGTATCTAATACGCTTACATAAAAGTCAAGTATTTGTAAGTTTCTCGTATACAAAGTGTAACTAAAAATAGTCACGTCACATCTCTATTTTTTTTAGTGTTTTTAAAAAATTTGTTAATTTCAAATATATGTCTGCTCGTATATTATCATAGGTTGAATTTATTTCGCTCCTACAAAATCCTGGTTTTCAGACGGAAAACCACAGACTTTTAAGTTGTTTTTCATATCAAATTAGAACTTAATTTATTATCTGACCATTGTGAGTGATATCCCACCCACCTCCTAACCACTACAGAGGAAAACGAGCGAAGCGAGAGCGCCCGACCGACGTTTCGAAATTCGCGCACGCGTTGGTCTACCGGTTCAAAGACCGGTAGACCCTCGTTTTAACAGTGGGCCCTCTTTCAGTCAGTGGGCCCAGGTTCAATAAGTGGGCCCACGTTCAGTTATTGAGCCCTCTTTCAGGCAGTAGTCCCTTGAAAACAAAGAATCAACTGCGACAAACCCCCGTAATACGTGACAATCTCGAGAAAAGAATCAGTGTGCAAAAATGACATTTTCCTTCTAGTACCGGTAAGCCCTGAGGGTCCCAAACCGACACTGTAAATAGGTATTTTAATTAATTTGTTTTCGAAATTTTAAAGAAACGTATCTTCATATATTTAGGGTATATTTGATATTATCAGACATTGATGCTGATGAAGATTTAGCAGCTGTTCTGTTAGGAATCCTTTAAACTTATAATTATGGTTTTCTCCAAATATTTTGTATTGCGCATGTGTTGTATTACTTCTAAACATCACACAGTTGTACCATTTTTCATTAAGTTGGCAAGAGCGTGTAGCGTTCTACCCATATACTTTGATTACTATACGGTGCAAAAGAGATGTCCGACACGCCCAACATAGGGCGCGGCCATTTTGATGCCTTTAATCACATACTTTGATTTTCTTTTACTATACGGAGAATGGTTGCACTGCGCAGCTTTCTGAGTGCCTTTTAAAAGGAGATAGAAAACTCTTCTTACGTGTTGCCTACATCTTGGCGCAATATTTTTAATAGGTGCTTCGGAATTGTCGGTTTTCTTGTTTTAATCTAACAGGCAAATCTCTGGTCGACCATGCATACGGCTGTTAGAAATCAGATCTATGAATTAGTTGTTGGAGATGTGAAATCATATCTCTACGTTCTCATTTCCTCTCAGCGGGAGAAGGCAACTGAATAAGTTTACAAACCATAATAGACGACAAAAACAAAACGAAAAATATTCTATTATTTTTAATATATTATTGATTAAGCTATCAAATTTTTAGTATAAGTAGGTTCAAATGTACCGAGCGTTCTCTCGTTCAATCTCAATCGCACGTTATCAGCAACAACAGATCGCGTAAACATTGTTTTCAACCCGGTGGAATGGATGTTCCATTTCTTCCCAACGAGCTTCTTGTGATTTTCTAAATCCCACACGGTTGCATGTTTATCGGCGCTGTGCGGGGGATATTTGCTAAACCCACCGCATTTGCATCCACCCAGTTTCTTCCCGGGACCCAACGGTTTGATTATTCCCGGTTTCAAGAAAGGACGCTCGGTACTAACGGGTTTAACGTACGTTTTCCCGAAAGGAATACTTGGTGGTAACCGGTACGGATTCGTTTCGAAATATTTTTCAGGATGATGACTGGTTATCATGGGTCCGTTTAAGATTTTCCCGTAAGATTTAAAATGTCCTTTATCTCCGTACAAATTTTCAGGATGCGGGGGATATGGATTCATACATATATTGGCATAGCCGCTTGTTCCTTTTCTACCGGGTTTCGTTAAAAAATTTCTGGGTTCTTCCGGAGGTTTCTTTGTCTTTTTGGGTTTCGGGCTCATGTAGGCGTGATAATTAATGAAGGTACCATGCCTAAAAGTGAAATGATTGTTTTAGAAAAAGTTGTATTTTAAAAAAATTAAAAACAATTCAGTACCAATCTCCAGGTGTGGAATGCCATTTCGTCGGTCCTACCGACAAAAATGGAATAGTTTTGACTTGTTTGTAAACCGGAACCTTTTGTAACGTGTTCTTCTTTATAGCTTCTCCTTCGAATATTCTTCTGAATTCTTTATCGAAATAGCAGTCAGCTTTGCCAACCTTCATTTTAGGACCCACTCCTATGAAATTGGTGCCTTCTATGTAGTAGGGGGGCGGGAAAAGGGTCACGTATCCCTCGCCGTGCATGTAGGGCATCTCGGCGAATATGCCGAGACGTTCGACGTCTGGTTTTTTGAACCGTCTGCCGAATTGCTCAACGTGGTCGTCGTCATCATCATCGGCCATTTTGGTGATGGTTTATTAAAAAAATATATACTTAAATAAAAAAATATCGAAGTTTAATGGTGAGGTGTCACGATGACATACTTTACTTCATAATTTTGTCAATATGTTATCACAGAGGATGAGTTCGGCTTGGCGTTCAGTGTACTCGGAGTGCACTCGGTATGCCTTAATTGTGGTTGTCGTGGCACTTAAGTATAATTTATAACCACCGTAACTTAATTTAACTTAATGCCGTAGAAACTTAACGTAAGATATGAAAATAAAGTCTACGTAAACGTGAACGTCAATGCATAAAAATAATGTTTGCGGTGAAATTCCAAATATGATTTGAAGTTGTTAAACGCATCGTGACATTTACGTACTATGACAGATAATGACTATTAATATTATAATTTCTTCTTTCCCAATTAAAAAGAGGTTATTTTATTTTCGTTACGTGCATACGTCAGAGCCCGTAAGTTTGCGTATCTACGTAGACGTCAACGTGAAGGATATTTGAATACGCATGCGTAGATGTCAATTTTCACGTATACGCACATACTTTGATTACTATACGGGCAAGAGAGAGGTCAGACACGCCCAACATAGGGCGCGGCCATTTTGAACCCTATGACACAGTTTATAGCTAAAGAATCAGATCGCTCACTCTGCGTCGGCACTTTTTATCTCAATGTTCCAGTTTATACACTGCGCAACTCAGATAATACAATATATGACAACCGCCTATAATAAAACAGCAGTCTTCTGCGTATCCTGAATTTGTATCCCTGGAGTGGATGTTATTTTGGAACTTTCAACTGGTCCGAGTGAGCTAACTGATTCTTTAGCAATAAACTGTGACTCCAAAAATAATATTCACTGACACTGACAGCAGCAAGCAAAATATCAGGTGCGTTTTAATCATCCACTTCTGCTTCCGGAATTGTCGGTTCAGTCGTTCTAACCTGTCAGATTAAAACAAGAAAACCGACAGTTCCGAAGCAGAAGCGGATGATTAAAACCATTGATAAGGCAACGTAAGGATACGTCATGTGTAATAATTTTTGATATACAAAATTGGCACCGGTAGGCGTGGCTTTTGCACTCACTAAAATGGCGGAAGAGCAGAACCGGATTTACAAGTTTTTATTGTGCTATTTCTGGTAAAGTATCATTATTTGAACTATAAAAAATTAATTTTCTTTTTTATAGATAAAAACCTACACATTAACTTAAAAGGTGGTGGAAGACCGAGATTATAAAAGAAGGGGGTTTAAAAGCTTAAGTATGCCCGGTTTTCAGCCGAGAGGTGCTTAATAAAGTAAATGAAAGAAATAAAAGATAACTGATTTAATTATCACTCAAGTGGCTATTAAGCGCTGGAGAATATATTGTTGGCAAAATTACAACTAATCAATGACCATGTTATAACTAACTTGGGGCCGATCCACCATTGGGTTTAACGAAGTTTAAAATGAAATTTTTACATAAAATGTAATTTTAATCTTCGATTAGTAGTTTAAACTTTAAAATGGTGGAATTAACCCTAAAGCGTTGAAATCATTCACAGAAAAAATAAATAGTACATTTTTGGTTTACATAAGCGACAAAAGTAAAGCGAGTTCGATTTATTGGATATGTCGTCACACGTTTGCACTAGGGAGGGCACATAAATAGCCCAATGCTTTATGATTTGAAAACGGAAAGGTCGCAAATGTCAAGTTATCTAACCTTACCTTAATTAACAGCTTTCTCGAAATTAAGAACAAATGTTCATACACTAAAAGCTCCATAATCAGATACGAAACTTAATGCAAGGCTCGCGGAAAATAGCTAATAAGCAATCTCTGTGTAGGAAGATGCACTATTCAGGATATCAAAATGTGGATTAATCTTACTTGGTCTTGGTACTTTTGTAGATTCAGACTGAAAGGTGTGCATGTTCATGCAAAACATTCAGTAAATCAGTGAAGCCACAACCAGCGGTGTGCAGGTAGGTGCATTTCTAGCAAATGTAAAATATGAAGTAATCTTACTTGAGACCTGTAGATCCAATAACGATATTTTGGTGGTTGATTTGAGCTAAGCTTCTCACTATCTGCAAAGATTATGACTATTTATGTAAAGGCCTACCGTAGTAACACACAACATGCACCACAAGCGTGCCGGTCCAATTTAATTGGTTTATGCACAATATTCATGCATGTATTGATTGAAAGTCGGAAAAAGAATGTGAAGATAAAGTTGAAGTCTCAATCATAATTAAAGTCACAGATGAAGTTAAAGATAACAGTAAAACCTGAAATTGTGGGCTGGTGATAAAGGGAGGCTAACATCTAGGTAATAAATGTTTCACGAATTAGGAAAAGTATCAACTGTAAGCGCTTTTCTTAACCACTAAGGTAAAAACCAGAATATTTCCTAATACACAATTTCTTCGCTAGGCAAAATAGGAAATACATTTGTGAGAGTACTTCCCAAATGTTTTTTCAAAAGCTCTTAGAACAAAATTGACGAAAATGGCCTAATCCAAGTTCAAATTCTAAAACTTGAATATTAAAGATAAGTATTTTACTGTAAAACAAGTAAAACCCCGTTGTTGACTAAATGGTTGAATAATTCATTATCTAGGTGGAGGTAGAATAGAGACCAAAGTTTAGCAGAAAAAGCCACTAGAAAAGATGAACAAAACCGACTGTGGCATATGAACGTCAAGCAAATATTGTAAATGCAAATAATGTGTGCTGTGATTAAATAAAAGTGTACAAGGAATAAAGTGTTAATATTTTCTTATCCATTTCTATGAGTGATATTTATTTTTAATACTAAACAATGATTTTGTTGCTAGTCTCATTAAAAAAAGACTAAGTGATGTTAAATATTTATTATTATAAGAACTTATATACAGTATGTTCATGATATGCACTGTACAAACTTCAATATCATATTCCTGAATTAATTTCAAGCATAAAATGTCTTATGAACAAATATCCAATTCTACATGGTTACCAAGCTACAAGAGTTTAAATATCAAAAGATTTATTAACATAGTATGCCATGTGTTCGAATATGTCGAAACACAGCACTGAATGTTTGGTGCCTTGGAACTTGTCAGTATGGAAATCGTAGCTGATACTCCATACAAGCAGCTCGCGAATATTCATGACAAAATCATTAAAGGTACACTATGTTGGCATATTATTAATTTAAAAACAGCAAAGGCATGTTGCAAATTTAAATTTATCATAAAAAGGAAACGTAGTTGACAAGTGTAGTACTGAGTAGCCAACTGACGTTTATAATTATTGTTAATAAACAACCAAAAGTTTTTAAAATGTGATATTTAAGTTTGTAAAGGCAAATCACTTCATTTCCACAAAGTCCTTTAAATGCACTATTCTGAAACAAATAGTTTTTTTTTTAATAAATGTCCCAAGTAAAGAAACATTTACGATTATTACAATCTAATCATTAAGATCAATTAGAAATTTTATTCTAACTTATCAAGGGATGAAAAACTTCACAAACTGATATTCTACTCTCTAAGAGTCTAAATCACTTAACTGCACTATACTCTGCTTTAATATCACTGAAAAAACTCAAAAGGCTTGGTTGTCTTGAGTCTTCTTATTAGATTGTTGAGGAGCTGGATAAACTCCAGGTTTCCATGTTGGAGCATTCGTTGTTGGTGACTACTGGCAAATGTTTGTATTGTATTTTCAACAGTCTCCACTTTAAGGTCCTTATGAAGATCAGTATTGTGGCAGTACCAGGGTGCATCGACGATGTTCCTTAATATTTTATTCTGGAAACGTTGAATAACTTCGATGTCACTTTTACTGGCACATCCTCAAAGCTGGCGAATCGATTCAATTTCACCAATTCCTTTAAATGCAGTAATCTTAAACAAATTATAGGTAATTAAAAAACTATATTAATATTGTTTTAAATGAACTATAATAAAACAAACAATACTCATGCAAACACAAAACATGAAGCTCTACTTTTCAATCAGCTGTTGAAATAATAAATAAAATTGGTGGAAGGACAGCAAATGTAGGTTATATTTAAATAGAAATAAGAATATAAAATGCCTATAAATTTGATAAACGAAATGGCGTACTATTAATGTACTTCTCAAGAAAATGCTTGGAACATATACAGCTGAATTTAGAAGGTTACCAATTATGATTGTTGACAAACTGTATCCACGCGTTACGTTTTTTAGGATTTTTTGGAAATCTATAAATATTATTTCGTATAAGAAAGTATTATTCTAATATAGTTAGGCCCAAAAGTTGATAGGATGATTTTTTTTTGCATTTTTAAAAGCATACTTTTACACATTTTATTCAAACCTGTCATAATACTGTCCTGTATAATATTTATAATTTTGATACTAACCTATGAAACGTTATTCCAGTCGATTTTTCACAAAAACGTCTATCGCTAGAGCAGGAACGTATAACACAGCAAGGCATTATATACTTTAAAAGTTTATAACACTCAAAAATTGCTCAAACACAAATTAATTTCAAATTTAATTACACAAATGACAGTAAAAATATAACCTATAAAATTGACAATTTGCACTCACAGTAATGGCGGACCGGTCCCACTTTTCGCTTACGCATGTCGTATCCCTAGGTTGCCAGATCAATGATTAAAACGCACCTATTAAAAATATTGCGCCAAGATGTAGGCAACACGTAATAACGGTTCAAAATGGCGGAGTTTTCTATCTTCTTTTAAAAGGCACTCAGAAAGCTGCGCAGTGTGACCATTCTCCGTATAGTAAAAGAAAATCAAAGTATGTGCGTATACGTTTACGTTTATAGCATCACTTCAACTCTCTAATATCAAATTATAGACAACCTTATGAAATAAACAAATGTAACCCTTAGAATATATATAGTCAGGAAGGAGGAATCCTAAACGACCTTGGAATCGCGATGGTATCTAATTTTGACAGTGAACTAGACGAATATGGCGTCGTGTTTCCGTCTACCAGTGACGTACTGTCATAAAGGGGCGTAGATTTGCATATTATCTAAACTTACCGATTTTTCTCATTTAAACAAATTGCTATTTTCTTGCGATTTTATTAACCTTCATTATGTGAATAA